GTGAATCCTTGATATCCCATCTCAGAAAGAAAAAAAAAAAGAGGGGGCGAAGGTTCAATAATTAGGAAAACGGTCAGAAGCAGGTTATGTATTTCTGAATGTGGATGGCATTTTAGGCTTGTGCGAGGTACGTTTTTCCTCACTAGTAATGGGACAGAAAACCTCTGCTTAGTTTCACTAGCTTCAAAGCACAGTTGTTGGATTTTGCCTGAAGTCTCTCCAGGTATAGTGAAGAATTTAAAGTTGAGGATAAAGTATGTTATTCAGGTACTCACAAACCCGATACCACTCAGTCAGTCAGATTCAAAATTAAATGGTTGTGTATAAAGGTCGTTCAGAATTATTTTCCCTCAGGAAATGTTCCAACACAAGGTATATCAAATTATTCTGTTTATTGAGGCCTCCTGGGATCAGTATTTAAAGTTTGCCCCAAGCGCGCTATGAAATTTCTTTGGAAAGTATGTTCTCGTTCAGTCGTTTTTACAGAATTCCAAGTGTTGTTTCCTCGCTAACTTAAACTAGGCTGCAGTGGGGCACCCGTGTTGAGTCACAGCTCTCAGTACTCTGACAGAATTAGTCTAGTAAGCTGTCTTTCAAGAAGTTGCATCTCTAAAATAAAGCCAAATATGAGTCCAATTTGTCTTTTCTTCTGTAGATGAGTAACTACAGCAGTGCCCAAAGTGATGGAGACCACCTGCTCAATGCTTTGCTTATTCTGAGGACCTTTATCACCCCTTGTTTATTTCCCAGGGGAGTGACCTCCTCACCTGGCTGTGTATCAGGGAAGCCGCCTCTGTAAAAAAAGCTATGTTGGGCTGGGAATAAACACGGAGTGTGACTAGCCTGGTTGAGGGGAGAAGGGAGTTGTGGGCTCTAAGAACTCTGTAGTCCATAGTTCAAAATATACAAGGTGAAGATAGAGTTTTTAGAGTGGAGATGGTGACGTAGCTCACTCTTGATTATTCTCCCTTTACTTGCTGTATATTTCAAAGGTCTTTGGCCTTCATGTTTTGTGCAGAATGCAGTGCTGTCAGCATGAATCCAGTACGGTGTTTAATGAGTTGGACTTCTTGGAGTAGGTGAAGGAGGTTCTGAAATATGGTGGTGGTTTCTCAAGGAGCTGACTTGATAGCAGTTTGTCATCACTGAGAAAGAGAGTCAAAACAAACTTCTGTTCAGTTGAACTGTAATTAATGCCTGAATGTTTCTATGCGGTGATACTTTAGAAGTAAAAGGTACACGTGCGGACTACTTTTCTGTGATTGAAGCTACCAGATTTCACTCTACACTTGTAATTGCTGGAGGCGCACGCTCAGTCAGTTACATGAACCTGGAATGTACACCCCAAAGTTTGACCAGCAGTAATGTGATAGGCAGTAGTCACTTGTTTCCCTTTCATATGGTAGTCCTAAGTGGCTGAGGCTACATGAAGTTGGAGAATTGCTGTCTTTAGGCTTAATCATCCAAGTTCTTTTTTCAATGTAAACACTATGTCAGCCATTGCTACTTGCTACTGATGTCTTTGTCTTTCCTCTGTATTGCAGTCATTTGTGAGAATTATTTAAAGGGTGTGGACATGTAGGAGCTTCTCTACTGGTGATCATTTTAAGTCTCAGTAGGCCATTAAGATTACTTGGCAGTCAAACTTCACACATTTGTTATTTCAACTCTTGGCCTGAAACTTGTCATTTTATGTACTGATTCATGCTGTCAATATTTTTGCCGGTTGGAAATACTGGAATTTGGAAATCTTGCGTAGAAATTATATGAAGTTTGAGCTTAGCTTTAGGTTTCACTTTCAATCTCTGAAAATAATTTTGTAAAAGAACTGAAGCAGGAGTTAAAATCTTGGGAGAATCTTCTGTCATTTGAAAAGTAGAATATGTTTGTATTGATTTGTCCTCATAAGGTTAGTAAAATGCTGCTATAGGATTTTAATGAACTTAGTGATTCAAAGCTGAAAAATAGCAAGCCACATCTAAATGCAGTGTTAAAACCACTACAGTTTTGCATTTGAATATTGTTTTGACAGATCTAGTAACACCATAATTTTTTTGTTCCTCTGTTTTCAACAAATACAGAACATACATGGTCAAAGCTAATATCTCAGTCTTGCAGATGGCACTAAAACAATGCTTCCTTTGTTAGTATATACAGAATTGCAGCTTAAACTACTTCAGTGCTACAATACACTTTATGCAAGATGTAGATCTTTGATGTAAAAAAGATGAAATGTTTTTTAGAGAGGTATGTGGGTTAAATACTTCAGTAGAATGGTGCTCTAGAATGTCGACCCATGTCAGACCTGTGTATTGGTGATGTGTTCTTATAGTCTTTTGCAAGCCTGGTCTAATACATAGTCAGAAATCTTCTACGTACATAATCTCCTGTCTAGAAATGGAAGAGTGTAAAGGATGGAGTGACTTGGGATGAAAGTGTCAGTGTTTCAGTATTTTTAAAAGGTTAGCATTTGACATTACAGTTTCAAATATTTATTGACCAAAACATTAGCTTGAGAAGACTTCTGTGGTAAAATAATCATAGGATGGTTTCCTAAATTGTAGCTTTAAGTAGCAGTCTGCATTTGCCTTTTTAGATGCTTATGCAGTTGAGGGTCTGCAACTTATTTTACTAAGCTGCTGGTGATGTGCATACTATGTCAGTACGGCAAAGTAGCAACATGTAAATTTGAGGACTTCTCACAAGTACGGAATAGATGTGCTTCCTGCCTGAGTAGTTGCTCTTATCTCTTCTGAGGAAAAGGCAGTAGGATGTTTTTGTATGTACCTGTGAATACCATGTGTATGTTAGTTTGAAACCCTTGAACTATGTAGTTAATATGATCATCTGTTTTGTGAGGTGTAATAAATAATTGGTTTGGTGAATTCCGGTCATTTTTATCAGGGTAAAATTTAGGCAACTTTATGTATAGTACAATCTTTGTTCTCTTAATTGTACTTTAAAGCATAAATTTCTATGGTGAAAGGAGCTTGTCTGTAAAATGTAGAATTGAACTAGTGGTTATTATAAAGTATATTCATAGACTCATAGGGTGAATGCTTTAATTGGAAAGCAAGGAGTGCTGCGTTTGAAAGATTGACACATCTGTATGATTTTGTGATTTGTTTTGTCAGAGCAGCTCAAGGCTCTTAGTTACTTCTAAAATTCCTGAATATCATATAAACAGTATAATTTGTAAATTTGATTTGTTTGCTCTGATATGTGAAATACTGAAAATCAACTTTTGCCATTCGGAATATATTCAGAGTGAAATAACTCTTGAAAATCTACCAGCAGTCTTTTACTGAGAAATCAAGAACTGAGAACCTACCATAGGAGCATTCTTATAAAAGAAGAAACCTTCTGTCCAATTCAGGTGATGCCTGGAGCCCGTCCTCCCGTTCCGTCCTCCCGTTCCGTCCTCCCGTTCCGTCCTCCCGTTCCGTCCTCCCGTTCCGTCCTCCCGTTCCGTCCTCCCGTTCCGTCCTCCCGTTCCGTCCTCTCCTGCATGCACGAAGTAAAATAGCACACTAGAAAATTACATGTGCCCCTGGAGTTAACTTGCCTTTCTCTGGAGAGAAGGAATTCAGGCTAAAGTAAGGGCTCTTCAGAAACACTGATTAGGAGAGATAAGGGAAAGAAAATAGGGGACCGAAGTCTTCGGTATGCGACAATATACTTGATGACTATCATAATATTATAAATCATCAGTTTCAAAATTATCTCTGGGATTCTATTAACCTCTCAGTCACTTTAGCAAAATGTATGTGAGTTTCGATTGAGAACAGGTAAAACTAGTAAACAACAAAACATTTAAATTGTGGTGGTGTTTGTTTTCTGTTTTGGTGGGGTTTTTTTTTTGTGTTTGTTGTTTGCTTTTTTTTTCAGTTTTTAAAACCTCTGTCAAATCCGACATTACAAACTGATGTGTAAAGAAAACAACTGCTAGATACAGTTAGTAATCTTGGATAATTAAAACTTCAAAACTGTAACTTCAGTTCTCTATATGCAAAGAAAGAAATCTTGCCTTATGTGTCATCCTGCTGAGAAGTTAAATGCAATGGTCTAATTTGGGCTATTTTTGTAGGTCATTTGGTGGGGCAAATAGGGCACGTCAGTAAAGATTACGTCAGTATTTTATGTTTTGAGAATCTTCACTGAGGGCGGAGTTGAAGAAATTTGGATAAGAGCAATGATGATAATAGCATCTTCATTGTCACTTCCTGTTTTTCCTTTCTGGAAATATACAGAGTGCAATGCTTCAGATTCAGAAGCTAGTTAATTTGATGTTTTCCGTAGTCAGAAAACAGTTTTGAACATGTAATGTTCATTGTTGCGTTTTTGATGGTACAACAGAGGTACTAAGGCAGGCTTTCTTCAAGAGCGTTAGGAATAAGAAAAGTCAGTAACTTCTTCTCTTTATTATCTTTTAGCTGCACGCTTCAAAATGGGTTCATATTATTAAAAACTTTCCTCCAGGAAATAATTCAACCATTAAGGAACAGTTTCTTACAAAACTGGATAAGCTTCATAATTTATAAGTGCAATAGTAAACTGAATTACAGGGTTACATGCTAATCTTGTGTTTGAGGCATTTGAGGTAAAATGTTTACCTATGTCTGCAGGGCTTTTTTTCCTTTAACAAAGGAATTCATTAGTATTAATTTATGCCTTGAATTGTTGTTTATGTTTTTTTAATCCACTTGCTTTTTTTACTTAATGAAATGTAGTCTGTCGTTTATTGCGACTTAACTAACATTTTATGTAGCACTGCTCCTATGATAGTTTAAATGTTAAAATAGTGTGCACTGAACTTCGTTTTAGTAGAGAACTTGTTACAATATTTGGAGTCTCTTGTTTTTAAACTTATTCTGTGAATGGTGGGTTGGAACTTAGTAATGATGTTTTACTTATACTATAAAACTGACTTTATGCAAAATAAAGTCAATTTATTTTAAAGGATTATGACTTCTTAATTTTTTTTTAATATACTATAGGATATGTTTTGGAGTTGCAGACAAAGTATCTTTGCTGAAATGAAGAAGAAATTTTCACAGGTAGACAGATGAAATCAACTTTATAAAATGATAACAAAGATACATAGTAACAGCATGATGCTGTAGCTTTTGTTTATTTCTTAACATGAGCATGAACTATTGAATTTTTTGTGCATGTACTTGGATACAGAGATCATGTATTTATTAAATGCAGTCTTAACAGTAGAGTCTTCAAACTGAGTATGCGTTTGTAAGCTTTTACACTAATGTGTTGGGGTTTTGGCCCTCTAGCTTTTCATTAAAAAAAATGTAATTATGTAGCTGTCATAATATATCAGATTGTGTAATGATTAAAATTTGTTTGTGTTTACTTTGTAGACTCAGTTTGATAACAGACTGTCAGAATAGTTTAGGGACCTATCACTGGCTACTATTGCCTTTTACACTATTTTTATCATAAAGTAGCCACAAACAAGATGTTTGCATTGTTGTCTGATAGTTGAGATAGTATATGTGAATGCTTGCCATGGATGGAGTTGAACTGCGGTTATTTTTGCTTTATCTGTTTACTATGAGCAACTTGAAGCAGCGGCAAGACGAATGATGACTTAATACCCTTTGCTATACTAACCCTGAGTTAAACTGGTTCAGTCTGTCAGAATTACATCTGTGAACAAGGAAGAGAGGATTTGTCTGACATGGAACATCCAGCAACCCAACCAGCAAATCTTCTGTAATCTTCTATAATTTGTTTGCTTAATGTTGTTTCCATCCATCAGGTACTGTGTCTCTAAATGTAGCAACTCCAGTATAAGCCAGGACTGATTTTACTGTTAAAGGTAATGGAGAAAGTGTGAGTAGGAGTTGGATTTATAGGTATCGTCTGCAGAAAGGAGGTGAGTTCAGGTGTTAGTTATGTAAAGACAGCAGGACAGTAAGGAATTGAGCCTCCAGTGGAGAACTTCTGTTCCTGACGTGTTCATATACAGTAGCAGGTCGAATTGTAGGATCAATACAAAATTACTGTGGGAATCATTAAATCTCAGTTAACATATTTTCCTAGGTGAAGCTGTATGAATATTAGTAAATGCCTCTTAACCCCTCTGCACTGTTCTGTAGAGCAGGGCGGGCTTCTACTCAGAGTAAGCCTCTACCATTGGTGGGGAATCTGGGTCAAAAGTGTGGGTTGATCTTGTGAGTTTTTTGGGTTTTAGCTGCTGTTCATCTTCTCCAGAAAAATAAGTAAGTAGACCACTGAACAAGCTTCATCTTCTCTTTTGTAACCACACAATAAAAGAGACAAATTGTGTGGGTTTTTTTTTTAGCAAAAACACCTACATTGAAGAGTAAAATTGTGCTGGGAAATTTGAAGGAAAGAAACCAGGAGAAGTAATCACTGGTGAAATTTAATTTTAGTCTGCTCAATTACAGTCCTGTGTGTCCCTGTGGGTGCTATGGATGAAAGCGAGGATATGTCAAAATTCCTTTGACTTCTAAATTGTGTTTTCTTCTTAATGTGTGGTTAATGTTTCAGGGATAGTTTTGTCAGTCTTCTTGGAAAGTAGTTCATAAACGTAAAATTCTCCAGTAAAGATTAAATGTATGAAAATGAAGTGTTGCAGATTTGCTGGAAATGGTGCCTTGAATCTTTTTGAGCGTGCCGTTAATGAAGATTTCCACACAGAACACTACATCAGGACATAAACTTAGAGCAACTTAGAGAACTTGGAGAAATTGGACTTTAAAGTCTTAAGAAAAATCACAGTCTAAAGCAAACTAACATTATACAGATTGAGGGTGTGGTTTTATTTGCTCTTCTCTGACAACTTTTTTCTGATGTGATAGAAATCAGCTGCAGTCAGCTAACATTGTATTTTATAGTTGTGTGAAGCCTGTCAGCTGATCTTGAAACTTTGTAAATTGAAGGGATGCAGCATCAGTTAAAATGTTTCTGTTCATTTTTATAAGGTTTGGTGATGTAAGAGCTCTCATAAGGGACTATGCCACTTTGGTGGTAGTCATCTGTGTTGTGAGGCTGGTTGTGTGGGAATACAAGGGATACTGAAGTTCTTTAGATCTTCTTTGTAGTTCTTTATTCTCTACAAGATGCTTATGACATGGCTGACAGTTTTAGTGTAAACACAGTTCTTGCTGTTTATTAATGTTTTTATCCATTGAAAATTGTGATAGCACTGCATGTATCTTTTTTGCCTTTTTAAATGATGTGACCTTTAGCTATGGACTGAGATTTGGTTGCTCTGGCATGCACTACTAATGCTTTCTGTGTGTTACAAGTTGAAAAGGCTGAGTCCTTGGGGACTAATTATTCCTTTTGCTGACCTGATGCTTTCTTGTGTGAGCTGTATTTAAATATTAATTTTTCCTTGTTGTTCTACAGCTTTCCATAATTGAGAGAATTAATTGACTGTACTTAGATCTTTGACTTTCTGGGTTTTCAGTGTTGGTGTGTCGGGAAAATACCATTTTCTTGGCTTACCTGGGTCTAAAATTTTACAGCTGTTCCGTTTCTACCTTTATTCAAGATTGCTGCTTTTCTAATTTCAGATATATTGAAGTTGCTGTTTGAAATCTCTTTACTTTGTCTAGTAGCCATTTGGCAATGTTAATTTTCTTACTCTGTTCAGGCAGAAAAATTTCTCCTGTGACTCACGCAGCAGTGGATTTAGTAGAATAAAGGTGGTGACTTGATTATGAAACTTTTTGTTTAATGATCGGCTTCCAAGATAATTTGGAAGCTTGCAGATGTTCTGGCTTGCATTCCTAAAAATCACAAAAGGTATACTTCTACCTCAGCAGGATTTATGATTGTGTCAAAGTGATGGTTCGAAAGTCTGTTCCTGATTTGAAGCAGTCTTCTATCTGCTTACTGGCTGAAATTCTGTGCAGAACTTGAGCAGTTTATCTCTCTTCACAGTAACCCTCCCATACAAATTCCTTCTTCTTCTATAAAAATGGAGCTTGTTTTTACATATGTTTTTCCAAAACTGGAAGGTTCTTAATTTTCTTATGCCTACTTTCAAAAATTGAGTCCAGTTTTAAGATCCTTAGGTTGTAGAAGTATACTACATCTTGTTGATGAAGTCTTGTCTTGATTTTTCAATTAAACTACAAAATGTTCTTAAATTTACTCATGAATTGTTACCTGCTGTCATTTCAGGTGGAAAGTGCTGCTGAGGAACCCAGGGTGCTATGTATAATACAAGATACCACAAATTCCAAGACAGTGAATGAGCGTGTTACCTTGAACCTGCCAGCTTCCACACCACTTAAGAGGCTGTTTGAAGACGTGGCTTCGAAAGTGGGCTATGTGAATGGAACTTTTGATTTAATGTGGGGAAATGGAGATAACGTAACCGATATGGTATGGCAAAAGTGCTTTTTCTTTCCTCATTTAAACCTTCACGTTATAGAAAAGTGCTATCTGTATTGCGTAGGGGTCATTTAATTCCTGTAAAAATTTGTTCTTGTGTAATTCCTGTAATGATCTGTACTAGGTGCACCAGAGAAGACTGACACCACTATTTTGATGTGGCTGAATTTTGTTATGTATCACATCTCTGTTTTATTTTCAAAATGTGCTCTTAATTGCTATGTGTATTTAATCATTAAAGAAAACAAGCTAATATGATCATTCAGGTGTAATGCTAGTTTTCATTGTCGATATGAGTTTTTAATGAAAATAACCATGATAAATAATCTCCTATTTCCTGTGGCCTTGTTTGAGAAGTGTTTTCTTCTCAACACAAGCATATTGTGTAGTGACTTTCCATGTTTCTTACACCTATTTGAATTTATTATATACAAAAAATTATGATTAATATCCCTTCTTGTTTTATTGTAAATCAGTATTGGTTTTAGTTAATATTACTTCTATAGATGCACCTAGAAAGCTTTGTGAGATTCCTTAAGAAATAGAGAAATAGTTGTAGTTTATTTCAGGTCATGTTTATGCTTGCTGAAACTCTTTCCTTTAAAAAAAAAAAAAAAATCTAGCAACCTGTATAAGACACTAGATGGTTTGATGTTCTGCAAGAAACTTGTAGACCAGTGTCTTGACTCATGAATAGATTAACCAATTTCTAAGGATTAAACTGTACTTTAATACTTAGTTTACACTGTTTCTTAAACTGTTCCAAGTTCTTTCAGTATTAATGATGAGTATGGCTTGTTTATACTGCATAATTTTGTATTTTCATTTCATCTTGGTGTGTCAGAAGCTACTTCAAGCAGTGTACTTGGACGGAATCTGTTAATTGTGTATAGATCAGGCTTTTTTAAAAAAAAAAGTGGTGGTTTTTGTTTGGTTTTTTTTTTAGCAGACTCCAGTAGATCAGAACAGTGACAAAACTCTTCTTGATGCTGGTTTTGAGCCAGGGAAGAAGAATTTTCTGCATTTGACAGACAAAGATGGTGAGCAGCCTCATCTAATGCCAGTAAGTACAATCTTCACTCAGCTACATAAGCTCTAGTGTTCAGGGGAGTGAGATGCATGTTCCGTGTACTGCTCTTGTGAGATCAGAAAATGAAATAAAATTAGACTGTATTTCATACAATAAGCTTGTTCAGGAACCTTCTCAGCAGACTTTCAGACTACTGTTTTACATTTCTGGTTAGTAGCACAAATTCTATTAGCAATGATTTGCTGTCACTTTTTATTCATGCATGTCAAACATTTATGTAATACTTTGCTGTGAGTAATTTTCTAAGGTTATATAATTAATCTTTGACATGTTTAGAGATAAGTCTTAACAATACAGGTTTAATCATCTACCTAATCCTTTTCCTCTGGTTGTTTGAAAGCAATATTAGACCATTCTCACAGAATTCTTGGAAACGGCAGTCCTGTATGAACAGCAGTTACTTGTTTCCAAATCTACATTTAAGAAAAAAAAAAATATATATATATATATAAGAGAAGAGTTGTCAGTGTTACTAGAAGCAACTGTCTGCAGTAACAAAATACTTGAGATTTCCTATTTCTCAAAAAGTGGAAGATAAAGACAGCTGCAGTTTATTTAAATCAGGGGTTGGACAGACTAGTGATATATTAAGATTTATTACTTAGCTGTCATGTCAGCATAATGCTGGCCTACTTAGCCTTTGTTGCGGACTTAATTATCTGAAAAGGAGAAAAAAAAAAACCCATGTTTAAATAATTGTGCACAAGATCAGAATTTGAGCGTGATTCTGAAAGAATATTGAATTGTGATTTTTATATCTTAAAAAAACCCTCATTCTATATTTCAGTACAGAAAACTTGAGACATAGGAGATATTAAATTGCAAACTTGCTAATTGTATGTGTTATAGAGCTGTATTTGATTATATGTTATTCTAAAGGGCATTTTCTTCCACTAACATGAAGAACAATTTCTTGAGGGATTGAGAATTTGGAGGGCAGAATTAAAGTTACGCAAGCAACAGTATATCTGTAATTTTGTACAGTTTATGTGATATACGTAGCAAAACTAATTTTTTAGCCACAAGAGAAAGAAATAAAACTTCTAGGTGCTTCACTAAAAATTTGTTGTCCAATTTTTGCATAAAATCAGTGTATTTGTTTACAGGAGGAATCGAGTACAGCAGATGACAGTGCGCAAGACAGATTTATAGGCCCTCTTCCACGAGAAGGCTCCGTTGGCTGTACCAATGACTATGTCAGTCAAAGCTATTCTTATTCTTCAGTCCTGAGCAAATCGGAGACAGGTATAGTGTTCTCTCTTGTAAAGGCAATGCTAATTTGTAATTGTTTCAGCAGATTTTCAAATAGTGGGACTTCAAAACTCTTAAAATAAATTCCAGTTTATATTTTAAAAAGCCGACATAACTGCTACGTTTGCCATCATGTTCTCTACAATATTCTCATATCACTTTGGAACAGAAGACCTGTATCCCATCCTTTTCTTTCTTGGCACAGTGTAATTCAAATTCTGTCAGGGGCCCTGCTTTTCAGTGTGAATCTGCTGCTGTGTCCGTACTTGCGTAATCAGGATTGTATTACCAAAAAGTATTCACCTGAAGCTGTGTGTTCACTCACAGCTTAGTGAGTAGTTGATACTCTGTTGTCAAATGTTTGCACTCTGGGTGTTAACTGAAGTCTTCCTGCTGTAGCCCCTGGTTGCACTTTCTCTGCCTGCACCGTGATTGCCCAAAAGGTTCATCCTTTGCTTCTTGGGTCCCCACCAGCAAGCGGAGACTCCCTCTGGAAGGGAAGCTGTCCTGGTTTTAGCTGGGACAGTTAGCTCTTCTTCTTAGCAGCTAGAAGAGCTCTGTGTTTTGGTTTTACTCAGAGGCTCGCTCTGAGAAGAATGTTGATAGCAAGCTGATGTTTGTGGTTGGACATGAGACTCCAAGGACTTTTCAGTGTGCTGTGTTCTGGCCGGAGGCAGAGGCACGGTGGGATAACGGGGGAGCATAGCCAGGACAAGGGGGCGACAGTTCCCCTTGTGATTTGTGGTGGAACTTAAGACTGAGGGCCAAACTGGCCAATTAGTATTCCATATCATGCAGCGTCATGCCCAGTATAAAAGTGAGGGTCAGCCGGAAAGAAGGGCTTTTTGGGCTTTTGCTTTTTTGCTGCTTTTGCTCCTTTGCATTTCTGCACTTTTGCTCTATTGCCTTTTTTTCCCTCTCTCTTCCAGTAGTCCCACTCTCGGAGTACTATCTCTCTCTCCCCCTCTATTTCGGGGCCTCGTGTTCGTCTGGGATTGTAGCTTTGGGACGAGACGGGCGTTGGATAAGAGGGGGTGGTGAGCATCTGCACTGTGTAGTACTTATCTGTATTAAATTGTTCTTATCTCAACCCACGGGTTTCCCGTTTTTCCTTTAATTCTCTCCCTCATCCCTGGGGCTGGGGGAGGGTGAGCGAGCGACTGTGTAGGGTTTGGTTGCCAGAGCAGCCTAACCCACGACAGAAGTGCAGCTCTGCCTCACAGACAGGTGCCAGGGCAGATCCCGGGAGGCTGGCTGGGTACCTTTGCTGCGCAGGGAGTCAGAAGGAGACAGCAAGTTGTAGCTCAGTAATGAAACAAACTCTTGATTCTAAATTTGTTGAGCAGACACAAAGATGACACATTACACCAATTCGTGCATGTTTAAGATTTTTTTTTAAAGATTATCTGCCACATACCTTTTTTATTCAATAAAACTGTAAAAAGATGGTTCTATAGAATCATAAAATACCAGGTTGGAAGGGACCACAAGGATCATCTGATCCAACCTTTCTTGGCAAAAGCACAGTCTAGACAAGATGGCCCAGCACCTAGTATCCTGTTGGCTTTCTTTGTCACAGAAGCACACTGGTTGCTCATATTGAGCTTGTTGTCCACCAGGATCCCCAGGTCCCTTTTGACAGAGCTGCTTCCCAGCCAGGTGGATCCCAGCCTCTACTGCACTCCTGGATTGTGTTTACCCAAGTGCAAGACCTTATGCTTGGCCTTGTTGGACTTCATAAGGTTCTTGTTAGCCTGCTCTTCCAGCCTATCCAGGTCTTCCTGTAGGGTGACTCTCCCTTCCGAAGTGTCTACTTCCCCACTCAGTTGGGTGTGATCAGCAAACTTCATCAGGGTACACTTGATCCCATTGCCCAGCTCACTTATGAAGATATTAAACAGCGTTGGGCCCAGTATTGATCCCTGGGGTCCCCACTTGTGACAGGTTGCCAGTTTGAAAAGGAGCTATTTACCGGAACCCTCTGGGTGTGGCCTGTCAGCCAGCTCCTCACCCATGGCACAGACCACTTCTCTAGGCCCTAAGGCTTCAGTTTCTCTAGGAGGAAACCGTGGGAAATGGTATCAAAAGCCTTGGAGAAATCCAGATAGACAGTGTCCACTGCTCACCCCGCATCAACTGAGCAGGTTACTTTGTAGATGGTGATCAGGTTTGTCAAGCACAATTTGCCCTTGGTGAATCTGTGGCTTTTCCCAGTCATGTGCTTCATTCGGCTTGTGATAGCCCTCAGGAGGATTCGTTCCACAACTTTCCCAGGGACTGAAGTAAGATTGATGGGCCTATAATTTCCTGGATTCTCCTTTAAGCCCTTCTTGTAGATGGGGGTGGCATTAGCCTTCTTCGAGTCTTCTCAGATATCCTCTGATCTCTATGACTTCTCAAAGATGACGGAGAGTGGTCTCATAACGGCGTCAGCCAGCTCTCCTAACACCCTCAGCTGGATATTGTCAGGGCCCACTGATTTGTTGGGGTCAAGCTCCTGTAAGAGCTCACATACCAGCTCTTCTTTCACTGAGTGTGGGTCTGTGCCTGCATCAACCTGTCTTTCTGTTCCCAAAGCCTGGAGCCCAACAGTGCTGGTAAAGACAGAGGTGAAGAAAGTGTTGAGAACCTCTGCCTTTTCAGCATTGTTGGTGACTAATTCACCTCTCCTGTTTAATGGTGGACCAGTATTTTCATTCTGTTTCTGCTTATTGTTTATGTATCTGAAGAACCCTTTCATGTAGTTTTTGACATCTCTCGCCACTTTCAACTCAGACTGCTTTTGCTTTTCTAACTGCATCACTGTGTGCCCTGGCAGTGCCCTTGTAGTTCTCAACAGATATTTGCCCACTTTTCCATCTCTGTTAAGCCAGGGCAGTTCTCTTGCTCCACCTACTTCCCTTATGTTTAAAGGGGATGAATTGTTTTTGTGCTTCCAGGAAAGCATTCTTGAAAAACTCCCAGCATTTACCAGCTCCTTTATTCTCCATGGAACCTTCCCATGGAATCTCTCCCAGCTGAGCTCTAAGTGAGCTGAAGTTTGCTCTTCTAAAATCTAAAACCTTTATTTTAGTACTAACCTTCAGTGGCTCAGCAGGATCAGCTCCACAGTATTGTGATCATTACAGCCAAGGCTATCACTAGTGAAAGTATTACAAAGCAGGTTTTCTTGGTTTGTGAGTAGTAAGTCCAGCAGTTCCTCACTCCTGGTTGTCACATCTAACTTTTGTATGAGGAAGCAGTCCTCTATACATTCCTGGAATTTGATGGATGACGTGAGCTGCTGTATTGTTCTTCCAACAACTGTCTGAGTAGTTGAAGTCACCCATAAGAACTAGATTCTGTTAACCCGAAGCTTGCTTAAGTGACCCAAATATTGCTTTGTTGGCGTTATCATCTTGGTTTGGAGATCGGTAGCAGATGCCTACTGTGAGATCCCCCTTGGAGATGACTCCTCTGATCTTGACCCAGAGGCATTCCATAGGGCTTCCACTGTCGCTGTATTTGACCTCTATGCATTCAAGGCTCTCCTTAACACAGAGTATGAGTCTCCTCCTCCTCTTCCTCCCTGCCTGTCTTTACAAAACAGCCTGTAGCTGTCTGTTGCGATCCTCCAGTCATGTAAGTTGTCGCACCGTGTTTCAGTTATTTCTGTGTTATCGTAACTTTCTGACTGGATGCAGAGCTCCAATTTCTATTGTTTGTGCCCCGAGGCTGCGTGCATTGGGGGGTTGGTTTTCTGGTTCTCAGCTAAGGAGCATTTGTCACTGCTCTGGTTGGCTTGGCAATGGTGTGAGTGTTGCCACTTTGGACCTCACTCTCTGAGTTTTTCAGTTTAAAGCCTTCCTCACCAAGTTGGCCAGCCTGTTGCCAAAGATTCCTTTGCCTCTTCTGGGCAGGTAGATCCTATCCCATCGCTCCCTAACAGGCTATAGTCATTGAAGAATGTCAGGTTGCACAAAAGCCAAAACCCTCACAACAGCACCAGCCACGAAGACAGAAGTTGATTTGCATTTTACTTCTATTTCTAGCTGCACCCTCTACTCTAAGTGGTAAAATCGAAGAAGACATAACTTGGATACTAATAATTTTTGCTTGCACTGCCAGGGCTTTGTAGTCTTCCTTGATTCAATCCAGGTTCTGGCTTGCGGTGTCATTCATGCCCATGTGAAAGAGTAGCAATGGGTAGCAGTCTGTGCTCTTGACAAGATGTGGCACCCTCTTGGCAGCCTCTCAGACCTTAGCTCCTGGAAGGCAGCATACCTCTCATGACTCCCTGTCAGGCTGGCAGATGGCCATCTCAGTGCCCCTCAGAGAGTCACCTATTACGAGCACTCATCTGTTCTTTTTGCTGTATCCACTGTGTGCTGCTGGTACAGTTTCTCCTTGCAGGCCTTGTTCGTGGGTGTCTACAGCTGTTAAAGCTGCATATCTGGTTTTGATTGTAATGCTGGAGGGTGGGGACTGAAGCAAAGTCCTGCTTTTGTGGGTCACGGGGGTGCAAGGTGCCTCATTCTCTGTGGTGTCTGCCAGGAGCATGGTTCTGAAACCACTTAACCTGTCTGTCTCAGCCTCTCTAATATTGTGCAGCCTTTGAACTGTTTCCTGCAACTCTGCCACCTAACGTAACAGGTCATCAACCTGTGCCTATCTTTTGCAAGTACTTACCTTTTCTGCAGGAGAAGAGTCTGGGCACTTGTAACCTACCGTCTGGTGAAGTCTCAGTGGAGACTCATTGTAACCAGTTCCATCTGGGTGGAAGCATTAGATTTCCCAGGGGCTTTCTCTGTAGAAACACTGGTTTTAACTCTGAGGCCAGTGCCCACCATTATGGCAGAGACTGAGACCGCTTCCCTGAGCTGTGGGACCACAAGCAGGGTGCATGGCCACCTTGCACGCCCTGTGGCATAAACTGTTCGCCCTCTCTGTCCCTGCTCGCAGCGCTCCAGGTTGCTCACGGTCCCTAGAGCTGTTTAAATCTCCCACCGTTGCTCCTGGCAGTGCCCGAGCTGCGTCAGCCTCTTGCGAGAGCTGCCACCTCCTGGTGGGGCTCTCAGCTCTTCCTGGGGTTTCCCTGGCTCCAGGAAACCCCTCTGTACTCCTCCATCTAGCACTCAGCTGCAGAACTTAACTATTGCCACAGCTGTGTGTCTTGCTGACTGAGTAGAGTAGTAAATGAAATACATGTGTCCTAACTCAGTCTTTTCACAGAAAACGTGTGTTTTGCATGGAGTAGCTACCTTGTAGTTGCCAGTATGGAGCTGAGATTTTTTTTTTTTAAATACTTACCAAGAGCTTCAAAGTATAAATAGACATATTTCATTTCTTTATTACACTATGCTTCAGTATATGCTACTTACCAGCTGTTGCTTATATTATAGATTTTGGAGAAAATCTTAGAATTGCAGTAAGATGAATATAAGTAAATAATTTCGTTTTCAGCTAATAAAAATGACACTGATTTTTAGTAGCTGTTTTAATTAGTTATTATGGGAGAGGGTTTTAGAAGATACATGTATGTGGGCACTTCAGGGATTTTTTTAATGTATAGTTCTGAGATGATAGTACAAACCAATGCAGATACAAATTACATTTATGTTACAGCTAGGGTATTTTTAGTTGATCAGGCAATAAGTACGCTAGTACACAATTGTTGCCTAATAAATTCTAGTTTCTTCTGTAAAATATTTAAGTCTACTGTTAAAATATAAACAGTTACCTATGTCCCCATTGGTGCAGTATTCAACATTAAATATTGGTTATTATCGTGAAAAGTAATTCATAATCACTAAAATAGCTTCATGGCACTGAGGGAGATTATTTCTGTTGTGTAAACTGTTGCTGTCTATCGCTCTCAGGAATAAGTAATTGTAGTATTCCATCAACTTTTATACTGTAAATAACAATAAATGAAAACAGATGGATGCAGTTCTTAAATAAATGTTATCACGGAAGTGTTTTCTTGTCCAATGTTTTAACTCTTAAAGTGATTTTGCATCTCTTTGCGTTATTTCCATCTCATTCTTCTTGTATTTTTAGGTTATGTGGGGCTAGTAAATCAAGCAATGACTTGCTACTTGAACAGCCTTCTACAAACGCTTTTCATGACTCCTGAATTTAGAAATGCATTATATAAGTAAGTATATATGATCAAAACCTGTTCTTAAATTTGTGGTAATATATTTTGGTAGGAGACCCTTTTGAGTTCCTCCTGTCAAAATTTCCCTGTTTGGATACTGAATAGCATACTTGAAGTCCAGCTGGATAGACTATTTTAAGTTACATATAGACTATTTTAAGTTACATCTGCTTAAAAGCTTCAGATTTTTAGTAAAATACTAAGATATGTTACTGATTGTGGCATGGACAAGCTTTTTAAAGAATTTGCCCCTTCTTGAAATCAAAATTGAAATTGGAGTTTGATACTAAGTGCAGTTCATGTCTATATTTGTGCAGTGAATGACTTCAAAATTACTTCATTCATTTGTGTTAGATTTGTACGTTTAAAGAGTAGTGTTGTCATTTACTGCGGAAGTGGAAAGCAATTTCACTTGACTTTTCCCAAGAAACAGAGCTTCAGTTAACCTCTATAATCTGGCAGACCTCTTGAAATGTAATAAATGCTCATTTAAATGCCTTTTTGAGTGGTGTTTTCAAAACATTTTTAATTGTCGAATATCTTGTGTTGCAAATAGATGGGAATTTGAAGAATCTGAAGAGGATCCTGTGACGAGTATCCCCTACCAGCTTCAAAGACTCTTTGTTTTACTGCAGACCAGCAAAAAAAGAGCAATTGAAACAACAGATGTTACACGGAGTTTTGGATGGGATAGTAGTGAGGGTAATACGCTGCTCTTAAGCTTGTGTGATTTTCTTCAGCAGCTGCCTGTTAGGGGCCTAAACTGCTGTTGATGGGGGAAAAATACTGGAGTAATTCACAATAACTATTAGAATCCACTTTATTTCACTGGAAATAAAATAGCTTAAATGGATACTTTGTTGGGGTATGTGTTTGATTTTTAAAGAAATTATGTCTTTCAGTTGTAGGCTGTTAAACTCAAAAGCATTATATTTTTTGTAATTAAGCTATAATTACAGTTAATTGTTTGTAAAGAAAAGTAGCTCTTTATGAGAAACTTGTGTAATTTTTGAATCGTAAACATCAAATGCACATCTTCCACTTAAGTAGAAAATAATATGGATAATTCCATAAAATCAAACACTGTGTTTGTCTTTTTGACAGTTGTATAATGTAATTTTGCCCCATAACCTGCTGGTTTTTTTCTGTGGAGTAATCACACGATGATAAGGGCTTGAAAATTGAGTTTTAGAGTATCAGCACAAAATGGGAAATAAGTCAGAACCAGTTTATTTTGTAAAACTTTGTTTTGGTGGGTTTTTTTTTGTATCTTCTTGCTATGTATGCAATCCTTGTTTATGCATAAACATTGTGAACTAGCTGGCTGCTTATTTTTCTAACTCAACTTGAGAGGCAGCTGCTTGTGGAATTGAACACTGGCCTAATAGCGAATAACGTAATAAATAATAGGTAGAGATTTAAATTGGTAACTTTTTAGGAAATATTCTCAGGCTACAGTTAGTATCGAGGCTAATAACATCTCTTGTTTTAATTAAAATTAATTTTAATTTCTAACAGCATGGCAGCAACATGATGTGCAGGAGCTTTGTAGAGTCATGTTTGATGCTTTGGAGCAAAAATGGAAGCAAACAGAACAGGTAAGCATATAAAAGTTCTTTCTGTTCTTTCAGTATTGTGGAATTTTGTTGGGTTTTTTGAGGATAATTGTGGAAACTAACTGAATTTTAAATACCACGTTTTGGAAAGTCTGCAATAGTTGCAAGTTTTCTTGTTTGATGCAGTGGTTAAGCTACTGTAATGTAAGACTTTCAAGAGTGTGTTGCTTATGTTTTTCTCCCCAGTTAAAAGTGGAATATTCTGAACTCTGGATACTTAGTGTTTGAGTAACTCCTGTGATAGCTTCCTCACTGTCAGTATTTATTAGGCTACGTTGCGGGCTCTTGAAGCTCAAGACCACTCTTCTAATGTAGGAGAAAGTTAGGAGTGTATTCGTAACACATGCTACGATTGTGATAAGTGGCCGTCTTGTAGGCCAGTTTTCAGATTTGTGGATTGGCAAATACTTCCTTTATCTTTCTATATCCACCTCTGGAGACACAGGGGAAGGACTGCAGGATGAATCCGTTCACAATGTCTGCAAGATCAGGCTTGTTTTTAAAACATAAACTTCAATTTTGATGTTTTATAGTCACTTCTAAGACGTGACTGTGTAAAGTAAACTGTGAAGCTTAAATAACATGGTTTGAGAAGCATTTGATACGTGTTTGATACGTGTTTGGTGCAGTGGTGGGGCAGGGGAAAATAAGAAGTCAAGAGATAAATGTGCTGCTGTGGAATGGTATTCTAAATGTGTAGCTATGCAATTAAGACCTAATTAAAAAAATGGCATTTTCTTTTAAAACTGAAGAGAGTAAATATGTTATGTTTCATTTGTTTAAAGCTCTGCTGAATATCTGTTTCAGGCCGATCTTATAAATCAACTGTATCAAGGCAAACTGAAGGACTATGTACGGTGTCTAGAATGTGGCTACGAAGGCTGGAGGATCGACACTTACCTGGATATTCCTTTGGTCATCCGGCCATACGGCTCCAACCAGGCGTTTGCTAGCGTGGTGTGTACTATTATGCTGACTAATAGTGCATCCATACACACATAGAATACATAATGCGACAGTGGTATAATTTGTTACGTGGTAAGTATCATCCTAGATACTCCATCTTGGGGTGTTCGTCTTTGTGCAATGAACCAGCTAGCAAGTTCTAGAAGATTTTTTTTTTGGCTTTTTGGTTTATTTTTTTGTTTTGTTTTGTTTTCTTTCTTTTGCCCTTCAATGAGTCCTACTGGTGCATGTATAAGGGGAGGGGAAATGCAACTTTATTGCCTTAGAGCTGCAATAATCAATTATTTTCTTCCTGATAAAATATTCAGCATTTACTCGAGAGACTTCTATGAGATCACGAAGTTTTATTTGGGATGTTCGCTTTATTGGCACATCTGCTAAATTTTCATAGCATTGTTGAAAATCTTAGTCAAAGAACAGAAGGTTGACTTAAAATTTTTAGTTTAATGCCATGTTGTTGCTGTGCTTTTTAAAGTTCACTTCTCAAATACTATATGCTTTTAACAAGCGATTTAATGATAATAAAAAAATCCTATTGTACATCAGTGTTCTTAGTCACTTTTGCTCCAGCATTATTGATGTTGGCAAGCATATATATTACTTAGTAAATCTGTGGAAGTTTTTTGTTTTATTTTTTCCACCCCTCTGAAAAGAAGTGATTACAAACTGTGAAATTCCACCATTGTGGCTTAAAATACCTGTACTATGGTTGAAGTTGTGAGAAAGAATAAGAATAAATCAAACAAGTCTTTTAGTAAAGGTTGTTTTAAACAAATACTTGTTGTGTAATTTATTATATAGAAAGTATTTTTTCTCTTGTATTTAATATACTGACTATTTTTTAAGCTCTAATAGTCCATAATTCTTAACAGTAATTCTGTTAAGAAAAGAATTGTTAGAATTAGGCTAAACTGCAATGTAGGTTCAAAGTACTTCATACTTTAAAACTTTCAGTACTAATCTTGAGAAGTACTAAAGATGAGGAATGTTGATCTCACAGAAAGAATTCAAGTTAGTAAAGTCCTTTGAATTCTTTTTAAGATGGCATTAAAATTTTTTAAAACTATCCAGCTAATTGAAGCTGTATTGATACAGATTGATATTTTATGTAGATGATGTCCCTTTTCACTTTTTAAAAAAAGTAATTTCTAGAAATATTCGCTAAACCAAATTTTTTTTGTTGCAATTTTTATTAAATAATGAGATTTTTCTGATCGATTAAAGTAATGGCAACCATTCAGTTCATGTAGTTGTATTCTACATTTAACAATGAATTGTACACGTGTCTGAAATAGAAATTTTTTTCTTTAGTAGAGAAGTCTATAGTGGAATGCTAAAAAAAAAAAAAAAAACCCAAAACAAAAACACACCCACAAACCAACAACAAACCCAAGAAAAACTACAAAGAAAACCCCAGACCACCTAACTCTGTATATTTGTAAACACACAGAAAGCTTGAACAATTAAGAACTTAAATATCAGATTACTTTTAGTACTATTTGATATTTCTCCTGTAAATCAGCATTTACTGGATGTACTACATTAAGGAAAATTATTTTTAAGATTTTTTTGTTACACAGTTACATGATTGCAATTTGTATTGATGCTTCAATTTTTGAGCTTTTTTAATTCATATTCTGATTACATTCAGTTGACTCTCCTCCCTGCATATGTATTATCTATATCAGATGTAATTTTTAGTTTTGTAGTCTTCAGCAGTGGGGAGATATGGAGGATACTTGCTTTTGGAGAAGGGAAAAATCGCCTGTTTCTGAATGGAATTCTCTGAAGGTAGTATCCTCCATTGATCCATAGATGATGTTGATTTAGTAGGTGTAGGTAAAAGGGTATGAGTGAGAGATCAAAAACTTCACACATGCGCTAATAGGGCTTATAGAAGGGAATGTAAAACTTTTTAGACCTTGCTAGTCAGCTCCTGAGGGAACTTGCAGCAGGCGACACAACCCAAGATAGGGGATCTAAGGAGGATACTACCTTCAAAGAACTCTAGTTAGAGGTAAGTGATTTTCCATTACTTTCTAATAAGAGAGAATGGATGTATGAGCTTTAAGTAAGGTTAATCTGTAGAATGCCACATAAAGTGTATTATCCCACTGTTCGACATTGTGTACTACTAAAAAAATGTAGATTCCTGAAATGTTGCATTTATCTAAATATATATATGTTACTTCTAAATACATGGGAACATTGAAGAACTGGGAACGATAATGTTATGCTTGCTTTATTTCCTAATATGAACTAATTCTGAAATTCTGCAGTATGTTTTTAAGGTTTTAATTTTGAAATTTTTTTCTGATTTCCCCACTCCATCCCTTAAGTTCATGTAGTAAGACTACATAGCTACAAACTCATTAAGGCAGCTCTGGGGGACTGAGATCTTGTCAGTGTAAAAGTCTTTATACTATATGCATTCTTCAAGGGCATGATTTAAAAAAAAAACAAAACCTGAATCGGCCTTTCTTTGAGGTCAGTAGAAATATAGGCATAAAAATATATAGCTTGTTTCAGGAAGGCGAACAGGAGCAGCAAGTCATGTACTGATTTTAGTAGGTACTATTATCTTTTGTGTAATGTCTGAATTTAACAGCATTAGACATAAGCTAAAAACATGTTTTTGACTGCAGAACGTAAAAATTTTGCAAGATGAAGGAACAGCTGAGAAGAGTGGATGCAATGGGGAACTATCTGGCATGTTGAAATTATATTACTAGAAAACAGTGGAAATTGCTTTATAATATCAGAAGACTAGTAATAATACAAGTATTCTGGAGATGTAGCAAGTGCAGTTCTGTTTTCTTAAGTGTTGTTGGTTTTCACCATCTTTTGTGTGTTAGCTTTTCTTTTGAGAGTGTAAATATGCACACAAGTAGACCTTTTTGGGGCAGAAATTAATTTGGACTTCTGTGTGAACTTAATTTGTGGTGTCATCGCCAAACTAAAACTACTGGAGGCAGTGAGAACATGGATACTTACTTTTTTTAAGCTAGATTGGTAGCAACAAGGTCTTGTATTTTTAGTTGAGCATGTTCTTTGGACATGGGAAGCTAGATAAGATCTGAAAATCTGAGATGGCAATTAGTTGCTAGTTTTTCTCTGAGGACGATGTTGCCTAATTGCTATTTATTGTGTAACTTTATAAAGATTCTACTGCTTCTATTCACAGGTTTTACAAATTTACGCATTTAAAAATGCTTGCAGTAAGATACTTGTCAAACTACTGACTATGCCATAATACATCTTTGTGGAGAAGAGTGTGTTTGAAGTACCTGTCTTTAGCCAGACAACAATTAGTTTGAACTGCTTGTTATGACATTTTTGTATGCTAAGTGCCATAAATCTCATAATCAGAATGTTAAAAACTGGATATACTCAGAACTTGGCTGGCTGGACAAGGCCCTGAGCAGTGTGCTTTAAGTTGGACCCACTTTGAGCAGAGAGTTAGCATCAGATGATCACCAGAAATCTCTTTCAGCCTATATTGTTCTTTTGATTGTGAACTATAAAAAAAGCTTAAATAGCCCTTGTCATACTAAGCTATTGCTTGATCGTTTATAGTGTATTTTGAAGTGTCTGTGTGTTGGGAATGTTGGAAATGCTTAGTAGCTCTAAGGCTACGTAATAGTTACCTCTTCAAAGGTAACATTTAAACATGCACAAAAATGGGGGATGTCGTGTGATAAGTTGTGCAGTGTAGAAGCTTTGTCGCTGGTTTTGCTGAGTAAACCATCAGGGCAGAAAATGGTGAACTGCATTAGAATAGGAATTGTATTAAGAAACATCCTAATCAGCAGAACTAAGTGGTGTAAAGATTATATAGGAGAAAAGTGGAGGAGACGCAAATGAGTAAACCTGAGGAACAGCAATGTTCCCTATACGAGGATTGAAAAATACATGGGTATTCATATAGCTCAGAAGTAATGGAGTTCTCCAGAGTTTTAATCATCGTTTTCAAAGCGCAGCTCGCTATGTGTGGTAAGCAGTGAAACCACAAGAGTAATGTAATAATACTACATTCAGTTTTTGGTGGTCTGAAGGATCATCACTTTTTTCCGTATGTAAAAATTTATAGTATATTTTCTTGTTAAATTGCACATCACATGAGTCTACATAAGCAGTACATAATCGTTTATGTCCCATCATTCTCATTCATTCATATTCATGTTGATACATGAATTGCAACTTTTTTCCTACACTTGAAATACATTTTTATTGTCTTAACTGGCATTTGATTCATAAGATATAATTCTGTGATCATTGTGATGTTTTCAGTTTCATGTTTTCTGTGTTGGTTATTAACTTCTTTGCTTTCATTTAAATAGTTCTGAATTTATGAATTCCTTAACTAGTTTACAGAATAGTCAAAATGCAGTAATCTGCATTTTTGCTTTTTAAGCATTATAACTTGCTTAGTTTTCTTTCTTTCATTTTGGAATGAGATTCCTCACATTTCAGTGCATAATCTTACTAAACATTAGCTATTTGTTGCCCTTGAGTACAAAGCAACTCAGCCTCTGTAATGTTTAGTAAGTAAATACATAGACAGCAATTCAGTTCAGAATCTAAAATGTTTTCATGTGTCTGGGAGAGCCTCTCTGCCCAAGAGTTGTGACTTCAGGGCTGTTCAGTGGCTTTTCTGGCTGGATCAAAAAGTGGTGAAGTGACATGACTGCCTTCAATGTACAGTTGTTCTGTTGAGTTTGGCATGCTTTTTATTTGTGAGTAGCTGTCACCCGGAATACAGTTCTTTTTAAAAGTCCTTTCTCCTAGAACAGCAACAGAGCTTTTGTAAAACACGTTTTATTATTGTTCTTGCCACTTCTCTGAGTTCCCAGAAAGAAGGAAGAATTGGAGGCTTTTTGAAGAGCTTGTTGTATCCTTGATTTCCTCCCAAAGTGTGACTTACCAAACAATATGATTTAGATAGTAATCTGAAGTTCTATGCCAGCCATGTTACAATTGGTGACTTCACTCTGCCCAGTTAAACCCCTTCTTTACTTATTCAGGGAACAGCTATAGTCCTTCATAAGAGATAATGATTTTAAAAACATCTGCTCTTTGTCTTAAACTGAATGTCTAAATATGCAAGTTGTATTTATCTTCACCTCCATAGATGAATAGAGAGCTAGGTTCCACTTGGAGTTCAGAAACCCAGAACCTATTGGCTTGCAAGCTGACTGGGTTAAAGATTTTAACTTCTAAAATATCTGGATAAAATTCTTCACTGAACCCATCTCAATATTTTTAGTGAATTTTGTTGAAACAAGTTTGTCCTCAAGTGTATACAACTTATGTGCAATATCATTGTTGCAAATTATGTTATGAGGAGGAGTAATGATCAGTTTGCTCGTATTTTGAACATTGTTTGCTGCAGAGAGGAGGAAAGTAGAAATCATTAAAGTCTTGGATTTAAGCATTAGTGACAACTTTTAGGCAGCTATCAGAGGACAAAACTCCAGTTATTGGTTGGTTGCTTCATAAAGTTTATGCTAGGTAGCTCGTTCTGTCTTTACAGGAGACTTTCAAATCTGATTCTCACTCCTTTGGAAGTGAAGCTGAAATATTATCCCTCTGTCCTTGCCCCACCTCTCACTTAAAAGCAGTATCTTCAAATGTAGTTTCCTCAGTCCATTTGTAAAATGGGACCAAGTCTGTCCTCAGGCAGGGCACTGAGGAACTGAGTAATATTTTTTTCCTGCCATCTCCACCCCAGTAGTTATTGGATGGTACCTGTTGGGAAAAACTCCTCTTAAAGTGCAGAAGAACCATCTCAAAATTCTGGGAGAACAGGGTTGAAAAATAAGCTCATTTTCACAGCAGTGAACCAAACAGACATGACTAAATGTGATGTGCAAGATAACAGGAGTGAATGTCATTTTATATTGTATGTTTATTAAGCAAAGGCAATTAGGATTCATCAAATACTGAATGAAATGTAGTTAGCAGTAACTGTGGTTTGACTGTTTAACCTTGGGCTGGGTAGAAAGATTGATTGCTCTTCATGTTTTCCTGATTCTGTGTCTGTATCAAAGTTTAAGTCTATCAAATTTTGATTGTAGATTTAGTTGAAGTAATTTTTATGTGTTTGCAATCTCCTTGTAAATTTATCATTTTGATTTATACCTACATAGTAAACATTCTTTATAAATCAGATAACATCTCTTTATTATTAGGAAGAAGCACTGCATGCTTTCATTCAGCCTGAGATTCTTGATGGCCCCAATCAGTATTTTTGTGAACGATGTAAGAAGAAATGTGATGCCAGGAAGGTAAAGACTGTCCAAATCATTTGCAAAAATTACTTTTTGTAAATACCGATCTTGACAATGGGAGCATAATCTTGTCTTTGTTTCTTTTAGGGTCTGCGGTTCTTGCATTTTCCATATCTGCTGACATTACAGCTGAAGAGATTTGACTTCGATTACACAACTATGCACAGGATTAAACTCAATGATCGTATGACTTTTCCTGAGGAGTTAGACATGAGTGTCTTCATTGATGTTGAAGATGAGGTAAAGTGTTTAGCTTCGGAGAAGTCTTCAGCATTCTTGAAATTTCTCATTAAGAAAATTAAAATATTGGTCTAATAAATCAATTTTAACTACATTATTCATCTACATAAATGTTTTTTAGCCACGGCAATATTTTAATTTGAAGTTTTTAAATCTGTGCATGTGTATTTTTGTTATATTGAAAAGTAAGCATGTTCTCTAATTGCTGTAGGGCTTCCATAAAGCTGTTTCTGATTTCTTCTATCTTCACATGAGTGGTTTAAAAGCACGAGTCTGATGGCTTCTACATATGCTGCAAATCCAGAATGAATCACATTTCTTAAACTTGTGTCTGAATCTGTCTTGGTCACAGGAGGTGATGTAAAGTTTTGAAACTCTCGATACTGAAGTTAGTCCAGATAACACTAATGATTAATTCCTTCCTTCTGTCTCATAATTTTGTGTATGCTATAGAAATGAGATTTTTACAATTTTATTTTTCACTTGCATCTATTGGTTTTGGCCGAAATTCATGTTGTGCAATTAAATTCACCAAAAAGTTTTTAATGTGCTGTCTGCATTAAAGACTAAATTTATTCCTCTAATTCTATTCCTGAAAACATTATATCACTTTGCTACCTTTTAGTGGTATAAGAGAAATACTGCGTTGATGTACATTTGGAGAAGTCTTTCTGACTCTGCAAACCTTTGTTTTATGAAGTGTGCCATTTAAGCAATTTGATACCTCTTAAAGTGTTACTGGGGGGACTAAATGAGAATGAAGATTGATCTGGGAGAATAGAATTTAAGACAAAATTAACAACTGTCAGAAAAATTGTAAGAATTATCCAGAGGAAAGAGGATCGGGTAAGAGAGGGATATACTGACTTGTACTAAAGCTAATAGAACACTAATCAGTCTTACTGTAATGTCTTGACTCTGTCCAATGAGTCGAAATGGAAGAAAATCTTTGACTGGATGAAAATATTGCCAGTCAAATCACTTCCTATTAACAGCGCTATATTACAATAGGATTTGTTGTTTGATATTAGACTTCCAGGTATTTAATTGAATCAACTATTAAATGGAGTAGACTGGTAACAGATATAGTCTTGTCAAGTGTGAAATCAGGTAATTACCATTCAGTTGCACACAAGACCAGAAAATACTGATCTAAGAGGTGGACTGAAGACAGTAACAGAAACAAGTCTGTTCTCGATGCTGAGTTCCAGAGGTGTCTATGTTTTTGTGGAGTTTCATTGTTTTGCAGATTGTGATTTTTTTCATTTAACAAATGTATTGTTATTTCTTGTTCCATGTAACTTTAAATGCGATATAATATTAGTACGTATGTCTTACTTTTAAGAAGTCCCCTCAGACTGAGAGTTGCACTGATAGTGGAGCTGAAAATGAAGGCAGTTGTCACAGTGATCAGATGAGCAATGATTTTTCCAACGATGATGGAGTTGATGAAGGAATCTGCCTTGAAAGCAATAGTGCAGCAGAAAGAATTTCTAAAGCTGGCAGTGAAAAGGTATGTTTAAAAAAAGATGTTACACTGAGTCTGATTGGGATAGAGTTAATTTTCTTCTTAGCAGCCCGTATGGTGCTCTGTTTTGGATTTGTGACTAAAACAGCATTGATAGCGCACCAGTATGTTATCTTTTGCTGAACAGTGTTGCACAGCACTAAGGCTTTCTCTGTTTCTCATCCTGCCTCTGTAATGAGTTGGGGCTAGGGGTGGGCAAGAGGCTGGAAAGGGAACATGGCTGGGACAACTGACCTGAATTGACCAGAGGGATCTTCCATGCCATATTCCCTGCTGTGTAATATCATGCTCAGCAGTAAAAACTGGGGGCTTTCCAAAGTAGCTGTTACTCAGTCTGGCTGGGTATTGGTCTGCTGGTGGGAGATGGTGAGTAATGTCTTTGCATCATTGCATTTTTTTTTTTTTTCCCTGTTTCCTTCACTTACTAAACTGTGGTTATCTCCAACCACAAGTTTTCTCACTTTGGCTCTTCTGATTCTTTCCATCGTTCCACTCAAAGTGGAGGAGTGACTTGACTGACTGGTGGGTGTTTAGTTGTTGGCCAAAGTCAACCAACCACAAATGTAAATGATAAAAATATCATTAATTCTGATATTAGGAGTGGAGTGAGGAGGTGGGAGTGTGTGTTTTTATTCAAATTCGAAAAATGGCACTACAGCAAAGAAGAGTACACAACTAATTTGGAGGTCACCTGAGAAAAAAAGTCTTCCCAGCTTGTCAGACTGAGAATTCCCAGATAACTTGTTTTGGCAGCAGACCCTCAAATTGAAGACTGTTTTGTCTTGTCAGCAGTGTTTTTGCTTTGAGACCAACTGTCAAAAGCTGACCAGCTTTGCCTGCAAAAGTGTCTTGCAGCTTAGTAGAAGATTAGAAACTTTTGATCAGTCTCTGCCATCTCTTTCTTGTCCTTATAAATAAAAACGGTCATATAGATGAGGCCATGGATATCAATGTTAAATATTCATTCAGTCATCTTGAGTTTATATAAAGGAATTGATCACCAAGTCAGTCTAGGATAGCAGTTGTCCTTCTGTGAATCATAAAGATTAGCAGAGATCTTCGAGAAACCGAATTGAGTTTTCTTGTCAATACAAAATTAATCAAAAATCATGAGTTTTATGGTAATGTCTACAATGTGTGCTTCGTGTGTCGTTATTCAGTGTATTCATCTGAAATTTGGCTGATAGCTTTTATTCAGACTTGTTAGGAAGCTGTTTAGCTGCAACTGTTACTTTGATAAATATGTAAAGATTGATTTGCATGTTAATCTGCACATCTGTCCCTGTTTATTCTTAACCTTAAACCATTTGAGAGGGTTTTTTGATAAATGTCCTGAATACTGTCAATCTTAGCTGGAAAAAAGAAAGAAATTAATAGACAGTCACTTGACTGGAACAGGGACAGAGTATTGTAGTGTATCTGTAGTCCAAATGTCATGTCCTAGTATTGACAGTAGCTTTGGCCAATTAATTCATACTGCTTGTTCTCAAAGCAAGCTAGCTGTTAAGCCATGTTCTTAGCTTTTTGGTTTGGGTATCTTAATAACGGTTGCAGTATGTGCTAAGAATTTACAGAGCATTTCCTCCGTGCAAGCTGAAAATATTTAATTCATTTAACACCTGTGTGAGTCAGTATTGTTCGGTTTTATTTTTTAATGTATACACAACATGGAATGTATGTCCTTCGTACCCTTTATTTCCATACTTTCCATACATATAAAGAAAGGCTTATGACAGCAAACTCAGAGAGGTGTGAGAAAAGCTAATGCAAAGTGCTGATAAGCACTGAATGGTGTGTTGCTGGTTTGCAATATACATTAAGGGGAGAACAGCAGTCTTCAAGAATGTGGAGAAGGGTGATAGCAAATAAGCCTAACTTTGTAGCTACAGGCAAGTTGGTCATTACATTTGTTTCTTGTGTGGAGATGTTTTAATACCTGTCTAGCTAAGAATTCATTCATTCAGAGCTTATACAGAAAAAAAGTAACAGTAATACATTAAGCCAGTTCAAAAATGTTTCCATTATTTTTTTTCTTGAGTCGTTTGGTCTTTTCTCTCTCTCTTGCCACCAGCGAAAGGGGAAATTCCTCTTTACTGGAATTATTACATAGTCTTGTATAATGTTGAGCATATTCGAACTCTGATTTTATTCAATGTCTATTGCAGTAATGCATTTCTGTTAGAGATCTGTTTTTTAACATACAGCTATTTATATATTTGAGTTTGTGTAATTGTTTTAAAACTTTTCTAAATTATCGTTTGGTTATATTTTCTTTATTTAATATATATCACACCTTTCTTTTCTTTCCCCAGAGTTCTTTACTGTATGAGCTCTTTTCTGTTATGGTTCATTCTGGAAGTGCTGCTGGTGGCCATTATTATGCCTGTATAAAATCTTTTAGTGATGACCAGTGGTACAGCTTTAATGATCAGCATGTTAGCAAGGTAAAAATAGTATTTTGAGTTATCTCGTGTACTCATAGGTGAATCAGTAAGTTTCTATTTTGCATGTGATTTTTTTTCTGTTTCATATAATGAAACTGGTTTTATATGCAGGTATTTCAAACAATTACTTTGCTTCATCTTCTCATCCTAATGTCCTGCTATATACATGTATTTCACTCATTAGCTTCACTGATTTCTAGGATTTTTAAATGTATTTATATATGAGTTTTTGTGCATTGTAGGGGAGGAATGTTTCTTCTCGATGGTGAAGAGGGGGTGGTTTATGAAGAAGCCTTTGTTCATGTACAGCCTAGGCTGGATTTAGCATTTTGCCTTCTATACATGTGAAGAATACTTCGTGCTTAGAGGAGTGTATTTGTAGATCTATTACAACACAGATCATGCTGTTAAACCTGTCATGTTGATGCATTTCAGGTGTTACATGTATCTGTAAATATTATTGCAATCAAGAACCTGGATATTGTTTTTTTAAGAAGTTCCTACCTCAAAAAAAAAAGTTTACATTTATTGTAAAATGAAGAGGCAGATCACTTTGAAATAGTTTTTTTTCAGTCAGCAAATAAGCAGAAATATTTTTTAAAAAACTGGAATGATCAATATTATGTGTTAATTATGTAATGCTATTTTTCCTAATGAGAATAAATGCATCTTGATCAGTGCAAGTTTCTCAAATAATCATTAAATTGATTTTCTGTTAGATAACTCAGGAAGATATTAAGAAAACATATGGTGGATCTTCTGGAAGCAGAGGCTATTATTCCAGTGCTTTTGCTAGGTTAGTAGTACTGTAGTATTACTTTTCTTTCTGGTTATGTTTTGGTGTAATTAAATGAATGGCCAAGATGCATGTGCCTAATGTGTTAGCTTAAAAGTAGCAGTAGATGCTTCAAATAGTTGTAAGAACTATCCTGACTGCTGTTTCCAAATCATTAAAATAACATGATACTTATTTTTGAAAATCCTTTTTGGTTAGTGTATTGCTAAGATATATATGACATGGCTACTTACTGAAAAACAAAACAGAACAATTATTGAAGTCGGTGTTATCCCCCTGTCTGATAATGAATTTATAACCATTCTCCACCAGCTCCACAAATGCATACATGCTGATATACAGACTGAAGGATCCAACAAGAAATGCAAGTAAGTATGTTTTGCAGTTCTTAACCAGTAAGATTCTGTTCTGGAATAAGATGATGTTTTACATGTGTTAAGTACTGATTTTTGTGAGGATAGTGGTATTGGTATTTTTAGGGTAAGCTGAAGCAACTTTAATATAGGAAGCCTTCTTTTATAGCTTTTTATTATTCTTTTTGTCATAAACCTTTATGGATCATTAGGAGGTCATCACAAAGTAAATTCTCTAATTTTTTAGTGGTTTAGATATCATGAAAATGAAAAACTGGGCGACACTGAATAAACTATAATGTAATGCTATAGAGTGTCATGATTGATAGTGGAATAAAAAAATATTTTCTTTAAAATGAGTGTGTAAGAACTTCATAATGACAAAGTTTTACACTTTGTAAGCAGCCCTTATTGTTTGTGTTTCACTTAGGAGGTGAGAAAATATGCTATAAGTTAACTACTCAGAAACAAAACTTGGATTTCACTGTTTTTCATTCCCCTTATCTCTGATTTAGTTCATTAGGGCTTAGAGGATGCTTGGCCCCTGGTAATAGCTGACAGGTTGATTAATCTTTGAAGTATGATACAGTGGAAAATGAAGATTCTATTTGGATTCAAAACAAGAATGTCTGGTTGGAGGCTTCATTCAAGTATTGGCAGATTTCACAGGGGTTTAGACTGTTCCTATTATTAATAACTGTAAACTTACAGGATTTATCTTGTAGATTTTTAAAAATACTACTGTATTTGCTTGAAAACACTTAATGTTTCTCATTTAAAATCTGAGCACACCTAAATGATGCAGTAGTAAATGAAAGTTTGACAGAATAACTAATGTCAAAATAGAAGGAAGTGTGTTAGTTTGTTATTTTCCCCTTCTTGCTAATCCCTATTTAGAAGCACGGCTGTAGGAAGGAAACCAGAAGAGCAGTGGCTAACCACACTTGCTCTCATCAGCAGTGTGCCTGGAAGAATCAAATATTTTGTTAATATTGTAACTGGTTGAATTGAGCCAAAGATTAGTTTGCTTGCAATATCAAAGCTGTATTTTTTTTTTTTCTTAAAGGAAACATTCAGTAGTCTGCCCTTATAAAGGGAAATTTGTCAGTTTGTAGCTTGGTTGAAGTTAGGCTGATAAATATTGTACTAAGTTTTTGGGGTGTATATACACACAGTTCAATTGCCAGAACTTTTATGCCCTGAAGTGCACAAAATAATCTAGTCAGTGAATAATTTTTCCTAATACCTTGAGCAGATGAGAAGCTGCCTAACTTTTCAAAGGCAAGTAAAAAAATTCTAATACCTCTGCATTCCTCAGGTTGGGTGTCCTGAAGAATAGATTCAAACTCTCAAGAATCTTAAATTAATCCTTTGTAGGGAGGATAGTTTAATAGCTGGATTTATTTTATTCTTAGTTGGTAACCTGAAATTATTTATTACTTAATAGCGTAGAATCTCACAACTGAAACCTTGGGCACCTCACATTGTGCAGCTTCTTTAGGGGCATGCTTATTCTTTATGAAGAGCATGCAAGTGTTGAAAAGACTTGTATACTTGGGAGTTTGTAACAGTGGAAGAGGGAATAGAAGATCTTCTAACATTTTGTTCATCTTATTCTACTGCTGTAAATATTTTCAGAAGGAGTAGAATAGTTGTCTGCTTCCTTTAACTTATTGGGGTAAACTGTTGAATTCCACCATGAGAAACTGAAGACGGTTGTTAGCCACAATAAGGAAAGAAACTAGCAGTGCAAGGATAAGTAAAATAAGCTTTAATGTTTTTTTTAAATACAAACTAAAAAACCTACGCCTATACTAAATTTTACTTATAAAGAACACAATTCCAAAATTAATAAAAGTAAACTTGCAACTATTTCTATATTATTATATTCTAAAAGTGGTTTATGATATTTGGAGCAAATTTTTCATCTCATTTCAACATCATAATAAATACAAACCACATTTATTTTTAGCAGAAATCTGTTTCATACATAGAGTACTGTCAGACATGTTATTATTTTCTAATTTTTTTCCTTTTATTTTTCTCATATTTTCCCCATAAAATTGAAGAATGATATTTTCTTTGAGGAAATAGGGGGCAAAAACTAAGTATCTCACAAAATCAATTTTACTGGCTTCTCTTCGTTTCTGAGAATTCATGATACACGGACAGTGCAGTTATGAAAATGTATTATTTAGTTTTCAAGTAACAGTATCTGAAGTAGATGCTTTATATCATTTTGAAGTGGCTTCAACACAAGAAGCATACTGTTAAAGCCTTTTATCATCCACTTGATAAAGTATTAAGTCTTAAGAGCAACAAAAAATAGTATTGTTACAATATTTGGATCATTGAAACAGTGTTATGTTATTCATTCTGAACAAGAAGTGATTGTAAATTGTATGAAGCTTGAGAATAAACAGCAGCCGTAAATAAAGTCTATGGGTCAAGAGCTGTCTTTGGAAATAGATTTTCCTGTGGGTGCTATGATTGTTAATTCCTCAACAAGCAAATAAAGGAACTGAATCTGCTATTTCAGATTTCTTGAACGTGCCAAACTCATTTTTAAATCTGAGAAATTACTTGCCCAATTCCTTGCAATAGGAGAGACACCAGGATTTCAAGACAACTGTTTTTGCAAAAGTTGATTCTGGTTTTTTTTTTTAACTTGATGAAGTATTGCATGTTCTGTTTTTGTTTCCCTTTATGAAACAAAATCTCATTAAGTACATTAATCTGTATTAAGTGCAATATTTATTTTAATCACAGTATAGACAGTATCTTTTGACATTTATTATCAGTTAATTTACCTTCTAGAATAGAATTTACCTTTATTGTAAAAACAGGCTCAAGTGCAGTCATCAGTCTTGGTGTATTTCTTTACAACAGCAAAGCTTCCCTTACTGATACTGCAATGTTAATCTTGTGCTAATAGCATTTTCTCGTGTTGCTGGTTTATAATTAGGGGAAATAAAAGGCTGACTTTGATTTCATTTATGACATGAAAAAGAGAACAGGATGTGGTGTAGTGAGAAATTTGGATGGAGGAGAGAGAGATGGAAGAAGGAAAGAAAGATAACTATTAAATATACCCGTTAATTCCTAAGATGTTGCCTACTGCAGAAAAATCTACTTTTTAAAACGATTGTTTCATTTTCACCGGCAGAGTTTCTTGAGGCACATGAGTATCCAGAGCATATTAAACAACTGGTACAGAAAGAGAGAGAATTGGAAGAACAAGAAAAGAGGCAACGTGAAATTGAGCGCAACACTTGCAAGGTTAGAATTTCTCCTGAATGAAATAACAATGCATTTCTATTAAGAAATGCTTCTGCAGTTAATAGTAATTTTTTACTACAATACAAGGACTCTTGTGATGAGTATATTTATATTAGTAGCTCTTTAAAATGAATTGGAAGCCTGTACACAGTGGAGCATCTGTTAGAGGTATTCACCACAGATTTTTGTTAAGCCAATGTCTTTCATGTAAATTTGCATTGGTATTAAAACCAAAACAAAACTATAATTAATTTGGCGTCACTTAATTTCAGCAAAATTAATTCCAAAGAGTATGTAATGCTGTATGTTAGGTGTTTCATTTCAATTTAGTTATTTGGTAGAAAGAGCTGAATCTTTTTCCAACCATAGATTCAATAGTAACAAACAAAATATGACATTATGACTTACAAACATGCCAGTCAACTGGTCTACCTATGAATCAAGTGATGGTTTTATCAGAAGGTTCTCTATGGTTGCGAAACATGTAACTGTATTTGGAAAAGCAATTTCACATTCACTATTCCTGCGTGCACTTTGTTTTGGAGGATTTGCACACAGCCTATAGTTCAAAGATTATAGACGTTGTACCCTAGCCTGCAAAAATATATAGATATACGTATATTCACACTAGTGCTGTCTACTGTGCCTTTGACTTTTTCTATCTGTAGTTGTGTAACCACCTAAAAGGAAGCTGTCCTATAGCTGAAGTAGAGCTAAAGCTGTATTTTATATTAGATTGTTTGAATATAGGGTTGTAAATTTAAATGTACTCTAATATGAAAGGTATTTGCAAATACCTTCATGATAATTTTTCTTCCTTGTGTATTTCATAGATTAAATTGTTCTGCATGCATCCGACAAAACAAATAATGATGGAGAACAAATTAGAGGTTCATAAGGACAGGACACTGAAGGAAGCTGTGGAAATGGCTTACAAGGTATGCTGTCCATAACAGAATAGTTTTAGCTGTAATTTTTTTATGTTGTTGTGTATCTTCAGCTTTTAAATTTCTAGTGCTATGGGAGTGCCTGTGGGGAGCTGGCTGTGTTTTTTTTGTTGTGGGTTGTTCTTTGAGGGTTGGTTTGTTTTTTTTTTTTCCTGTTAATTTTTTTTTTTAAGAGATGTTCTAGTTGAGGTTTATTGACTGAGTTTTCTCTTAGTGGCCATCAGATGGTTTCTGATTGGAATGATATAGCTTGCCTTTTTAAAAAGTCAGTGCAACTTCACATACCCTTATTTTAAAATCACAGTGAGAGCTGCTGTTAGACTCACTGTAGTCTCAGTAAGTTGAAAGAATTCTGAATGCTGGTATGTGTATTGCAGTAAAAATGTTGTATTCGATTTGTAATAAGAGAATTCTTTCAATAAACTTGCTGCATAACTAATACAATAATGTCAGTGGGCACCAAAGCGTCTGTCATCTTTGCCTTCCACAAACAGGTAGAAGTTGAAGACGTATGTTCTTGCTTACCTACTTGTACTCTGTGATTCGTGCCATATGCATATTTGGCTGGGAAAGTACCAGCAAGGCAGTTGGATTTGGAATGAGTTAACATCTTGAGATGCGCAGAAGATAATTAGTGGATATTACTTCCTCGGGCCTCTAAGATGCCATTTGGTTTAACTTGTAGGCAATGCATTCCTCTGAATATGCTTCTGGGACCTGTCTTTGTGTGCTTATACACATGCTTCTCAAACTTACCTCTTCTCTGCATTTTGATGCAGGCTTCTCTTTCGATTTTGAAAACATATATATACATTGCACATGTGTGTATATAATATATATGAAGTATGTGTACGTTTTTTCTAAAACCAGATTGAAATTTGTGAATTTAAAGCATTCCTGGATGTGCACATTCTGAGATATTTCTAGCTTACAAGGGAAAAACTAAACTTAAAAATAAACCATTATTAAATGTTTTGGGGTTTTTTTGTGTGTGTGTGCATGATTTAGCTAATGGATTTAGAAGAGGCCGTTCCTTTGGATTGCTGCCGTCTTGTCAAATACGATGAGTTTCATGACTACTTGGAACGATCTTATGAAGGAGAAGAGGATACACCGATGGGTTTATTACTTGGAGGTGTCAAATCAACGTACATGTTTGACTTATTGTTGGAAACAAGAAGACCTGACCAAATTTTCCAGTGCTATAAACCTGGTGGTAAGACATGTAATTACATACAGACAAGGATAGACTATAATCATATATTGTTTGATGGCTTGAAAATAAAACTTGTAAAACATGGAACTTCATTATGATGTGTAAAAGAAGAAAACCTTTGTTGTACTAAATTTTACAAAGTCAGTGCTGTTTTGCCAGTTTGTTTCTAATTGAATCAGTTCTAAGGCATACTAAAACTTGTCAAACTGTGGAACATTTGTGCTTCTGGCATTAAAATTGATCTGAAAATGAAATTCTGAAGTTGGACTGCTCTTCAAATTCATTATTGTTTTATGCATTTAAGGCAACCCCTTTATCAGAACATCAGACAAGCTTGTGTGTGCTTTCTTTGCCTGTTGAATTCTCTCTCATATACATATGTGGTTTTGTTTTCTTC